ACAGCTGAGGATGGGGTAGGTCATCTGGTGGGGGCATGATGGAACATGGCAGGGTGTGTGTGTGTAGAGGGGAGAGGGGGGGATCCACGACGATATACATAGAGTAGTATAAACAGGATAACATGATTTGATTTGATTCAAGAACCGACATCATAGCACTTGGGGCATTCCCATAAGTGCTATGTTTCCATCTTCAGCAGCCAGCGAAGAGTTCCGATACTAATGGTGCCAGCAGCTTTCTGATTAAACGTCCGTCTTGCCTTTCCTCTGAGCCTCGAGCTTCTGCCAGAACCTCTCGTCACCCCCAACTGCATCAATCTCACCAGACTGTGGTGATCCATCTGCTCCTCCAAATTGTACACGCTCTCCCACAAGGCACTAACCACGTCTGCCCTATCAAGTAGCAGTATTCCACTAAGTTGTGCAGAGCCAGCCAGTCTGTCCGCCTGTTCATTTCCCAACACACTGGTGTGACCCGGTGAAAAAATCCAGACAATAAACAGGATAACAGTGGGCAGGAAATATAAACAGGATAACAGTGGGCAGGGAATATAAACAGGATAACAGTAGGCAGGAAATATAAACAGGATAACAGTGGGCAGGGAATATAAACAAGATAATAGTGGGCAGGGAATATGTGGAAGATTTATCAAAGCATCAGGAGAATTATAGGCTACCTCAGGATACTGCCGTGCCATCAATGTCAACTTTCTCAGCACAACAAAATACATCATCAATGTCCGATCCACATACCAACTGTAATGGGTCATTGTTTCCTTTGTGGCTACTATGCATAAACTAGAATCTGAATGGGTGGTATTGATTACTATGCATAATATATGTGCGAATAAATAGTGTCAAATCTAGACAAGCATGAAGTTTGTGCAGTTTGGCCGAAGCATGCCAAGCGAAGAAGGCAAGAGTTTGAGAAGAGTTTGTGCAAATAAAAAAGAATAATTTTAAAAAAAATAATTAAGCAAACCTGTTGGGAAGCAGTGGTGAGATTAAAGTCATATTGATTGAGATCTTCACACAGGCTACTGTCTGCAAGATACTGAGATGCTTGATGAAGCGATGCCGTAGACGATACATCCCAGGAAACATCACTTCCATTTGCTTCACCTCTTTTCTCCCGAGCCTCATTTCGAATAGAAACAAACTTTCTACGACGTTCCAAAGGAGCCTGAAAAAAAACAATGTAATTGTAGGTATAGCAATGAGTCGAATTGTTTCGTTTATTTTGATACACATTTTCATCCGTAACTAGGGATGCGACCAAAAAAAGCAGCCCAATTGACCGTTATTGAGAAATTATTTTTCCGTGTTCTTTACGTGAAAGATAAAATCTGAAATATTATTCGGATTTATTGGAGAGATGCTGGGCTTTGACCTGAGATGGTTTTGACGCGTATAAAATAAATCGTTTTTTTTTTTTTTTTTGGCAACACGCAGTGAATTAATGGTAAGTAATTTTGTAAATATCTTCTTAATTAGCCAGATTACCGCAATGTGTGGTGTATTGTGAATTCTGCGTTAATTTCTATATAAGTATGAGAAATTTCACAAAGATTGGCTAAGCGCAAATGTTTAAAATAAAAAAAATTTTGTGGCATCACTGTTTTCGCTTTAAATCCAATAAGTTTGCACTAGGAGACTGCTTGTCCCGCTTTATAATTAACTTAAAATAATTATTAAATTAGCTAACATTATTTTAATCATTTTAAAAAAAATCCACAACCATTGTAGCATTTTTTCATGCATCTGTCATTATTTAGAGCTCTGCGTATTTTCTGATGCGGATATTTTTTCCTGATCATCCCCAAATCCCAATAATTAATTTCGGCCATCATTGCGAATTTTTATATCTTTCAAGATGTCAGTATTTCTACTCTTTTTCGTCCAAGATTTTCTGAGAATCTTTCTAAAGCATTTCAGCTTAAAAGCCCCTATTCTCTTTCTTAAAGACTGGAAGATAGTCCACGACTCACATCTGTATGTTGCTACAGGGAAGATGCATGCTCTCAAAATTCTAATTCTGATCTCCTTTCTGTAATACTCTTCCCCTTATTATTTAGGAACACAGCTACAAAATTACAGGCAAATTGAGTATTATATAAACTTTGTTTTGTGTGAACACACTGTTTAAGGAAGTCAATTCTCTTTAACAAATAATGGTGCTCTGTTATGATACTCCAAAAGTTTCTCTTGAACAAGATCTAAAGTACAGACTGAGTTTATATTTTACTTACACATTAATAAGTCTGTTTATTTACTAATATTTAATTAAAAGTAAAAGTAAAGTAAAGTTCCCTTTTCACGCCTTTCGGCGCATCGGGCATATGGGCAGAGCGTCCCATATTTTTACAGACCATCAGCACTCTGTGGGTAATGTGGTCAGCATTACGCCGGCTGTCTTTACTTTCCCAGGACAGCCCATCCTGGTACCCATTTTAGGCTGGGTCGACCTGCGACGTCCCCATACCACGACAAAATTCCACGCAGCCTGCAGTGGGTTTCGATCGCGGTATGAATATTTAATTACTAACGCAATTATTTGTTGTAGCTGTATTCTAATATTATTCCTTAACAAACATTGGTCACTTTGATGTATAAAATGTGTATTTGCACAGCAGGTGAATTAGTATGGTCTGTTTTAATTATTACCCTTGTGAAATAAAAAAAAATTATTGCATTACTACCCCTTGGGCCTCTGAAGCTTAACCCCCAGGACTCAAAGAGTTAATATCTTCTTCTTTTTTTTTTTAATACTCTATATACTCAGCATTACAAGTTCATGGTTTAGCACCAGCTTCCCTGTAGCAACATATGGATGTGAACAGTGGACTGACTTGAAAACATTAAAGAAAAGAAGAACAGCAAGACTTTTGAGCTGAAATACTACAGAGTACCATGGACCAAAAAGAAAAGCAAGACTTTTGAGCTGAAATACTACAGAGTACCATGGACCAAAAAGAAAAGCAAGACTTTTGAGCTGAAATACTAAAGAATACCATGGACCAAAAAGAAAAGCAAGACTTTTGAGCTGAAATACTACAGAATACCATGGACCAAAAAAGAAAAGCAAGACTTTTGAGCTGAAATACTACAGAATACCATGGACCAAAAAGAAAAGCAAGACTTTTGAGCTGAAATACTACAGAATACCATGGACCAAAAAAGAAAAGCAAGACTTCTGAGCTGAAATACTACAGAATACCATGGACCAAAAAGAAAAGCAAGACTTTTGAGCTGAAATACTACAGAGTACCATGGACCAAAAAGAAAAGCAAGACTTTTGAGCTGAAATACTACAGAATACCATGGACCAAGAAGAAAATAAATATCAGCATTCTAAAAAATCTTAACTTAAAAAAAATTTACTTGTAAACAGCTACTTGACTGGGAAACTTAAATACTGTATGGTTTCTATGTGTAAGACACCCCCCCCCCCTCCCCTTCCCCCCCTTTGTTTTTGTCTAAAATCAAAAAATAAATATTTGAATACATTCTGTGTAGAAAATGACCGCCAATTTTAAACTTAATTTGGGAAAACATACTTTTTATACATGAGAATAAATATAGTATTTTGGCTATATTAAATATCAAAATGGCTTGGAAAGAACAGCAATGGAGAGCATGGTACTGGATAAGACAGGCAGGGGCTGACCAGCTTGAAGATGGACACAGAAGAGACATCTTAGGCAGGAAAGTGCATGAGGCAGGAGAGCTGGTGATGGACCGAGTTTAGGTGGGCTGTGATGGGAGCTATGTTCTGCAAAGGACCTTCCACAAGTTAAGGATAATGCTTACCTGCAGCTCTACTTGAAATTCATAGACCCGATCCTTGTCAATGATGTTGTCAATAAGAAACTGACCCTGAAACACAGCAGCAGTGGGGAAATAAATACTACAGTGCATATCTAAAACATTTAGCTTTATAGTAACGAACAAAGTAAAACATAGTAGTCAACGCTACTGCTCGGATAAAGCCGTTTTTGCTGTAGCTGCAAGTTTCGGCTGACAGCTACCTCACCAATATAACAACTCTGGCACTAGCTACAACTCTATACTGTGTAGACGGGATCAGCAAAGGACTCTTTTCCACGCCTTCAAACGGAGTGGGCATATAGAGCTAGATCTATAATTTATAAACCTATCTGCATTTGGTGGGTGAACGTAGTCAGCACCGTGCCGGTCACCTTTACTTCCCAGGACTTCACTCACGGGAAAGGCGAGACCGGATGTACAATCAGACAGTTACTGGTAACATTGGAATTGGAACTCTTCGCTTGCTGCTGAAGATGGGGACACAGAGCTTATGGGAGTGTCCTGAGTGCTATGACGTTGATTCTTAATTCAACATTCTACCTAGTAGCCATTTATGGCTATGTAGTCCTGGGAGCCAAAGTCATTTTTGAAAACATCTCGTTCCGTTAGGACCTAAACCCATGACCTTTGAATCTGTAGGCAAGTGTCTAGCCACTTTACCAAGGCGACTCCCAAGTAGACACAGTGGATACGACTATAAATGCCTCAACACCCAAAAAAAAATACATGTTTGGTAGTTTTTAATTTTGCTGTTCTTTACTTCTATTATAGCAGCGTCCGTTGCTTAGGCGTTGCAAGTCCGACTCGTAATTCCAATGTACCGCGATCGAAACCCAGTGCTGGCTGTGTGGATTTTTATCACGGTATGGGGTGTCGCAGGTCGACCCAGCCTAAAATAGGTACCAGGATGGTTGTCCTGTGGAAGTAAAGACGGCTGACGCAATGCTGACCACATTACCCATCTAGTGTAAAAATATGGGCGCTCTTCCCATATACAAGATAAGCCTAAAGGCATGAAAAGGAATCTTTACTTTGCTTCTATTATGGACTTGAACGTCTATAATACTTAATACAATTAAAAACTACTTCAGAGACGTTAACACGGCACTTTGCCAATGCAATGAGATCACAATCTATAGGCTGGGAACTTCTGATCACAAGTAACTCTCTAC